CTGCGGTGGACAGTTAGCGCACTCACGCCGCCGAGCACACACAGGGCGGAGGAACTGGGGCAAGGGTCAGGGGAGACCTCCTCGGGAAGCCCCTGGAACCCGCTAGCAGGTTCGAGAAGGGAGGCGCGGCCAGGGCGGAGCCAAGCCGCGCCGAGTAGAATAAAAGCAGCGGAGAGCGAGAGCTCCGGGCTGCCGGTTCTGGGAGTGGACTCTTCTCGCCGGTGCTGTCGTCTTCGCCGCCTTCGTCGCTGCCGCATTCAGCCGATGATTGCGCGGCCGGACAGTTGTTGGCTGTCTCGGTCGATGCCGTCGGTGCAACGCGGTCAGGGTTGTGTCTAGGCCGGGCTGTACGGCAGCGCGAGCAAGAGAGGAGGTGAGCCTGTGTGTGAACGGCCGGAAAGGTGTTACGATAAAAGGTGCTTCCTGCAACTCCCTCGTCTCCGACTTGTGACACACTACACATGTAATTATCAATTGCTACCGTCGTGGTCAACGTTCTCGTGAACTCCGCCAATTGATTCCTCGACCCATGTCAAGGAATACATTTTGGAGCAGGTGCCCATCCCCCCCATTTATAGCCGTAAGCCAGTGTGGAAAATCCCACATTCTGGTGCGATTCACTGCACGTAACTTTTAGTTGACTTCTTCCTGGTTCTGTCGGTAAAGTCACGTAGAAGGGAAATAATAAAATAATAAAAATGAAACATAATAAAATAAAATTCTCACGACGTTTCGGCCACAACACAAGCAGCCGTCATCAGGTGAATAAACAGAACTGTCGGAAAGACAGCGCTCCAATGAACACTGCTAAGCTTGGCAGCGTCTTTTAAGCTGGGTGGGAGGAGCAGAGCGCCTTGACAAAGGAGTTTACATATCAACAGAATAATTTAGCATTGAAGTAGCTATGTTAATTTGAGAGATTAGCAGGATGTTAAGGTGAGAAAATAGCATGTAACTGGGAGATTAGTATGATGTTAATGTGAGGAATTAGCATGTAACTGGTCACGGAAGTGGCTATGTTAAAGTCGAAGTTTACATATCAACAAAGGCATTTATTATATTAACGCTAAAGAACTGCAACTACCCAACTATCATACTATAAACCGATGTGAAATAACTAAATATAAACTACATCGATATAATCAATGCTAAATTCCTCTGTTGATATGTAAACTCCTTTGTCAAGGCGCTCTGCTCCTCCCACTCAGCTTAAAAGACGCTGCCAAGCTTAGCAGTGTTCAGTGGAGCGCTGTCTTTCCGACAGTTCTGTTTCTTCACCTGAGGATAGCTGCTTGTGTTGTGGTCGAAACGTCGTGCGAATTTTATTTTATTATATTTAATTTATATTATTTTATTATTTCTCTTCTACGTGACTTTACCGAAAGAACCAAGAAGATGAATCCCTGCAGTCACGAAAGCTTTAAATCGAAATTTAGTTGACTTCTGCAAAAAAGTGTTACGTGTTTGTGTTTTGGCCCCCGGAGGGAGCGATGAAGAGTCAACAAGCAATGAGGGTTCCAACTCGCGGACCGCGCGATTGCGAGCCGCACGCTGGCTCCACGTGGCCGGCTGTGTCCTGGAATGATTCAATGAAGGAATGATTCGTGTCGTGTAAGGGGCGCCGCAGTGGCGAGATGTTAACTCCCTCGCCTGGTATGCGGGAAGTCGTGAGTTCGATCCCAACCCTGACGCCTGATGTATTTTTGGAGTTTGCATTTCTCTCTCCCCGTGGTGGCATGGATTCTGCTCCGGGTCATCCGGTTTTTCACTCCACATTTAGAAAGATGCGTTTAGAGTATTTGGCTGCTCAAAATTTCCACGTAATTACAAGCCACTTCCGTTGAGCTATCATTTGTGATAGCCAGATCGCTTCTGAAAACAAGTTATAGAGCTCAACGGGGCCTTACCTGCCAACATCAAAAATAATAGTTCTTCTTCTTTGGTTCTTTCGGTAAAGTCACGTAGAATGAGAACAAAATAATAAATTAATAAAATAAAATAACACAATAAAATTCTCACGACGTTTCAGCCACAACATGTGATTTTACCGAAAGAACCAACGAAGATGAATCCTTGCAGTCACGAGAGCTTTAGATCGAAATTTAGTAGTTTTTCGTTTAAGTACACAATTTGCAAATTGCTCTGCAATAATTTACGGGCGATTCACCAATCCGTAATAGCATGGAGTTGGGATGCATTATTGTGGCATGTGAATTTCATGAAAACACCGTGGCAATGAGCTGCGGGACCTCTGCTCGGGGCTGGCGGTCACCGATTGTTTGGGGCTCGTGCCTGGAGTGCAGCCTCCACATATCTCAGGCATAGCCCTTCACCGTGGTGGGCCATTCCAGGAGCCAAAACAATCATTGTAACAGCAACAACACTTGCACGAGCAGCAAGCTGTCAGAGCAAAGAAAAAAGGTACAAGATTAAATGTATACACACTTGTCCACTGCTGATGAAGGCTTCTGCACACTGACACTTTCCAAAGGACATGGCGAGGAATTTCAGAGTCCATTGCTGCAGCGAGTTCATGATTACAGCTTTGATTGACTTCACTTCGTGTCGACATTATATAGTTACACTCACACATCGCGCCCTCACACCACCACCACCATCCCTTCACGAAGACAAAGATCCCCCGTACAGCCTTAACAGACTGTTGGGGCAAGTGCTGTTAGCGAGCACCTATGAAGGCTGGCACAGCACACGAGGGGGTGGGTGGCTAACACCACGCCCAGCCGCCTTTGTCTCCCCAGTGGCGATGTTTTCACTCCCCACGAAGTATTTATTTCAGGCTGAGTCGACCTAGGGGAGGCCCAGGACCGGTTCAGATAATCGTCATTGGTATTGGCCGTGAGCGGGAATTGAACTCGGGTCGCCGGGTTCGTAGCACAGCGCGCTACTCACTTCACTACCGCTCCCCACACCTCCTCACCCCACCAAGCCCTTACTCACCACCTCCTCACCCCACCACACCCTCACTCACCACCTCACCCCACCACAGCGCCACCCCGTCACGCCACCCACACACACGGCCTGTAGACTGCCGGCTCCCACTGGATCGTGTGACGGTGCAAGGTTGCTGTGAGCGCCGCGGCTGCTGCTGCTGCTGCTGCCGCTCACGGGACTCACGGCGATTGGCTGTGAATCGCGAGCAACGGGGATCAGAAGCTGCGCGCCAGACCCCTCGCGCGATACCCAGGTGCGGGCCGCCGCTGTAAACAGCGTCGCTTCATATCGCGTACACGGAGTGTCAGCGCGCCGCGGTGGCGAGGACATTAACTACTTTGCCTGGTGCACAGGAGGTCATGGGTTCGACCTCGACTCTTGACGCCTCCTGTATAGTTGGAGTTTGCGTGTCTCTCTCCCCGTGGTCGCGTGGATTTTTTTTCTCCCGAGTACTCTGGGGTTTTCCGTTCCAGATTGAGAATCAAATATCACGCAATTTAGAATATTGTTTCCGCTAGAAATTTCCACGTGATAATGAGCCACTTCGTTGAACTATTTTTTTTTATATAGCCAGGTCACTTCTGAAAGAGAGCTGCATAGCTGTGTGGTGCCTTACCTGGTAAAATAAAAATAAAATTGGTTCAGTAGTTTAGTCTGCCAGTAGCCCAGTGAACCTGGCCACCCGAGTTCGAATCCCGGCCGTGGATAACAGCATTAGCAGCACGCGAACCGATCCTCGGCGCCCCCCCGACGCGACCGAGAAGCGTGGTGAAGTATGGTCAAACAACGATGGGCGGCGACGCAGCACAGCACGCAGCGCTCGGTCCGCGGCCGCTCATCGCGGATCCACTTCGGGCGGCCGCCCCGATTAATACCGCTGGTCGAAAAATTCACCGTAAAATATGCGCCGTCGTCTTCACGGCGGGCGTCAAAAGATCCCCCGACGTGCATTAGAAACAGTGGGCTATGCTGTGCGCCGGCGGCGGGGCACAACTACTGCCAAATTTGAAATAAATAAATAACCCCCCCTCACCCCCCCCCCGGTAATTGACTCCATTAGAATCCACACACACAGCAGCAGCACAAGCAATCATCGGCACCTACTGCGGAAAAATGGCGTGACTCTTTCGGGAAAAAAAGTAAATCACGAGACTCCGTGAGGATTTGCTGAGTGAACCACGTGGAAAAAAAAAAATTACCCACACGACGAGCGGCTGTAGTGTGGAATGGACAAGCCGTGCCAGTAGATGATGACCGTCATGGGGCTATTCGCTGTAACCCATTCACCCATCGCCAAATTGTCTGCATCACGGCCGACCTCGTCAAATCTGGGCAACGAAGCCCGGTTCTGAGCCTGGAGGACAGTGCTTGGGTGGGTGACCTCCATGCGCAGCGGGTCGGGCGACCTTTCAAAGAAGAAGAAGAGGCATTTGTTGTTTTTGTCTTTGACCAAAATAGTTGGAGAGCCGCATCACACGCAGAGCTACTTGTACACAACACACATCAGCAGCAGCAGCGTGCATACAGCAGATAACAATAACACACAGAAATACCTGATGGAATAAACTTAATCTATTTAGCCCCCCCCCCTTCCCCCGAGTTATTTGTTAAGAATATAGTTTGACTGTTGTACATTTAGTTGTCACCAATCCATTCTACAGTGACTCATTGTCTACCATATTTAATCAATTATCTTTACGTTAAATTATGTTATAATTTTATATTGTATTTTAAACGGCTGCCCGCAAGGACGGCAGCCGAAGAGCCACCGACCCCTGCTCGTGAGTAATGCACAGGGCTTATAGGCGTCGTGGACAGTCGCGGGCAGAACCGCGCAAATCCTAATCTGAGACGCGTGGTTGGCTACGTACGGTGCGAAAGAAGTTCAGTATACATAATCACATTCACCAATCCGTAGTGAACAGCGCGGTGAAGTATAGCCCATTAAGAATCCTGTACAGACAGGGGCGCGTTCACCACTCCGCTTACACGTCACTCCACAGACCAGGGCGCGAACCGGTGGCACTCAAAGCCCGAGGACCTCGTACCTGTCTCAGCCTCGGTCTCCCCGACGCAGCCGCAGCAGAGCTGTCCCATGGCCCCGCTCCACGGCCCGGGGCTCCGAGGGTCGAGAAGGCGGCGGTCGCGCTCCTGCCTCCACCACCCGCAACCCCACACTGCCCCGCGTCCTACAGACCTCACAACCCCACACTGCCCCGCGTCCTACAGACCTCACGACCCCACACTGCCCCGCGTCCTACAGACCACACGACCCAACACTGCCCCGCGTCCTACAGACCACACGACCCCACACTGCCCCGCGTCCTACAGACCACACGACCCAACACTGCCCCGTGTCCTACAGACCACACGACCCCACACTGCCCCGCGTCCTACAGACCACACGACCCAACACTGCCCCGTGTCCTACAGACCACACAACCCCACACTGCCCGCGTCCTACAGACCTCACGACCCAACACTGCCCCGTGTCCTACAGACCTCACGACCCAACACTGCCCCGTGTCCTACAGACCTCACAACCCCACACTGCCCCGTGTCCTACAGACCTCACAACCCCACACTGCCCCGTGTCCTACAGACCTCACAACCCCACACTGCCCCGCGTCCTACAGACCTCACAACCCCACACTGCCCCGCGTCCTACAGACCTCACAACCCCACACTGCCCCGCGTCCTACAGACCTCACGACCCCACACTGCCCCGCGTCCTACAGACCTCACAACCCCACACTGCCCCGCGTCCTACAGACCTCACGACCCCACACTGCCCCGCGTCCTACAGACCTCACGATCCCACACTGCCCCGTGTCCTACAGACCTCACAACCCAACACTGCCCCGCGTCCTACAAACCTCACAACCCCACACTACCCCGTGTTCTACAGACCACACGACCCAACACAACCTCACGCTGCCCCCAGCGTTCGCTATGCCCCTAGAAGGGCGCGGGACGCTGCTCCGTGCTACTGCGGCGCGGAGAGTGGAAGGGCAGCAGTGCCACGGCAACTTGCGAGCGACTCGGCTCGCGATGGCTCCTCCGCGTCTCTCCCAATCGCGAGGGTCTCGCCCACACTCGTGACGACTTCCCCCCGCCGCTTCGCGATGCCCCGAGAATGGCCCTGCCCTGCTCCTCGCCTCCTAGACAGCGCACCCCCAGCCAGGGCCGTCTGTGGTGCAGTCCACGCGCAGCCCTCGAGAGGCGAGGGATGCGCTCTGCGCGGGAATTTAACAATCGCCGCATCGCCCCATCACCAACCCGACCCATCACCACCTCGCCCCATCACCACCACGACCCATCACCACCCCGACCCATCACCACCCCGACCCATCACCAGCCCGACCCATCACCAGCCCGACCCATCACCACCCCGACCCATCATCAGCCCGACCCATCACCACCCTGACCCATCACCACCCCGCCCCATCACCACCCCGACCCATCACCACCCCGACCCATCACCACCACGACCCATCACCACCCTGACCCATCACCACCTCCCCTCATCACCACCTCGCCCCATCACCACCCCGACCCATCACCACCCCGACCCATCACTACCTCGCCCCATCACCACCCCGACCCATTACCACCTCCCCTCATCACCACCCCGACCCATCACCAGCCCGCCCCATCACCACCCCGACCCATCACCACCCTGACCCATCACCACCCTGACCCATCACCACCCCGCCCCATCACCACCCTGACCCATCACCACCCCGACCCATCACCACCCCGCCCCATCACCACCCCGACCCATCACCACCCCGACCCATCACCACGTACCCCCATCACTACCCCTACCCATCACCACCCTGACCCATCACCACCCCGACCCATCACTACCCCGACCCATCACCACCTCGCCCCATCACCACCCTGCCCCATCACCACCTCGCTCCATCACCACCCTGACCCATCACCACCCCGCCCCATCACCACCACGACCCATCACCACCCTGGCCCATCACCACCTCCCCCCATCACTACCCCGACCCATCACCACCCTGACCCATCACCACCTACCCCCATCACCACGCCGACCCATCACCACCTCGCTCCATCACCACCCCGACCCATCACCACCCCGACCCATCGCCACCCCGACCCATCACCAGCCCGACCCATCGCCACCCCGACCCATCACCAGCCCGACCCATCACCACCCCGACCCATCACCAGCCCGACCCATCACCACCTCGACCCATCACCACCTCGCCCCATCACCACCCCGACCCATCACCACCTCGCCCCATCACCACCCCGACCCATCACCACCCTGCCCCATCACCACCCCGCCCCATCACCACCCCGACCCATCACCACCCCATTGCCACCCCGACCCATTGCCACCTCGCCCCATCACCACATCGCCCCATTGCCACCACGCCCCCATCACCACATCGCCCACCTCCCCATCACTACCTCGCAGCGTTATATCTCCTCGCCCCATCACCACTCCGCCCCCATCACCACCACGCCCCTCGCCTCCTCCCCACCTCGCCCCCCATCACCACCACGCCCCTCGCCCCCCATCACCAACCCGTCCCATCGCCACCTCGCAGCGCGCTGATGGAGCGGATGCGTCGCGTCCCCGCGATGCAGATGCTGCTCCAGCCGACGTGTTCATGTCTCACGCGCCGCGCCTGCTGCTGCTGCTATCGGGCGCGTTCCGCTGGACGGTGGTTTCCTATCGACATAATCCGTTGCCCGTGGCTACCGTGTCTCGGGTGGGGTTTTTTTCTCCTTTGAAAGAAGTGCGGCGTGGTGGAGGGATGTGGTGGTGATGATGGGCGGGCAAGGCGGAGTTTCCTCGATAACGCAGAGGGGGCTTCACGGGCGAGGGGAGGGCGTGAGTCGCAGCGCACAGACTAAGGTCAATCTTAAATTTTGATTTAAAGCTTTCGTGACTGCAGGGATTCATATTCTTGGTTCTTTCGGTAAAGTCACCACGTAGAAGGGAAACAATAGAATAATAGAAATATAAAACAATACAATTCTCACGACGTTTCGACTGAAACACAAGCAATCATCATCAGGTGTGTTTTGATGATGATTGCTTGTGTTGCAGTCGAAACGTCGTGAGAATTTTATTGTTTTATATTTTTATTATTCTATTGTTTCCCTTCTACGTGACTTTACCGAAAGAACCAAGAATACAAGGTCAATCTTGATTTGAAGCTTGCGTGACTGCAGGAATCCATACTCTTTGGTGCTTTCGGTAAAGTCACGTGGGTAGAAATAAAATGAAATGAAACAAATCACGACGTTTCGATCGCAACACAAGCGGTCGTCATCAGTTCAGTTTCATTTATTCGGTATAGCCCTGTGAGCCATGCGGCTCTTGAATCGGGTGCAACCACAACAAACAAAAACATGAACAAGAAAACCCCTTCAAGTGACTACGCGCAACACAAAAATCCAGGGGTGAGAGCACAAAGACAAAGATCCCCCGTATAGCCTGTAGCAGACTGTTGGGGGCAAGTGCTGCTAGCCAGTAGCACCTATGAAGGGCCGGAACGGCACGCGAGGGGGTGAGCGGCCAGCACCACGCCGGGCCGCCTTTTGTCTCCCGAAGTGGCGATGTTTACACACCGCACGCCAGGTACTCATTTGAGGCTGAGTCGACCTAGGGGAGGCCCAGGACCGGTTCAGACAACCGTCACCGGTGTGGGTGGGTCCGTGAGCGGGAATCGAACTCGGCTCACCCCACCCGCACGCGTTGCGCCCACCAAGGACACCGCGCGCAACGTTAAGCGACGCGATGTTTTGTTGCACCGGATCCACAAGGTACGAAGGAGACATCACGGGCGGTCGTTGTTATCTGCGCTTGACCGCCTGAATGTGAATGATGAGGCTTGGTGATGGTAATCAGTGGTAAGGCTTGTGCTTAGTTGTGAGGGTCATGAGGGGTGAGGCTGTAGTGGTCAGGGCCGGATAAAGGCATTTGGCATGGGGGGCTTTAGAGGCTGCAGCCTCGGGGCCTTGCCAGCTGGAGGGCCTCCAGAGATAAAGTAAAAAGTGATTTCATTTGTGAATGCTGAATTTTATTCGTTGTTAGCCTTGTAAAAATATTTTTTTACTTTGTTTTCCTTTTGAAAATATTACTGGGAGATTCACAGTACCTGTAGCCCAGGGGCCAAGAAAATCTTAATCCGGCCCTGGTTAGTGGTGAGGGTAATGAGTGGTGAGGCTAGTGATTAGTGGTGAGGCTAGTGAGTGGTGAGGCTAGTGATTAGTGGTGAGGCTAGTGAGTTGTGGTGAGGCTAGTGAGTGGTGAGGCTAGTGAGTGGTGAGGCTAGTGAGTTGTGGTGAGGCTGATGAGTAGTGAGGCTAGTGAGTGGTGAGGCTAGTGAGTGGTGAGGCTAGTGAGTGGTGAGGCTAGTGATTAGTGGTGAGGCTAGTGATTAGTGGTGAGGCTAGTGAGTGGTGAGGCTAGTGAGTGGTGAGGCTAGTGAGTGGTGAGGCTAGTGGGTAGTGGTGAGGCTAGTGAGTTGTGGTGAGGCTAGTGAGTGGTGAGGCTAGTGAGTGGTGAGGCTAGTGAGTGGTGAGGCTAGTGAGTGGTGAGGCTAGTGATTAGTGGTGAGGCTAGTGAGTGGTGAGGCTAGTGATTAGTGGTGAGGCTAGTGAGTTGTGGTGAGGCTGATGAGTAGTGAGGCTATTGAGTGGTGAGGCTAGTGAGTTGTGGTGAGGCTAGTGAGTGGTGAGGCTAGTGAGTGGTGGTGAGGCTAGTGAGTTGTGGTGAGGCTAGTGAGTGGTGAGGCTAGTGATTAGTGGTGAGGCTAGTGAGTTGTGGTGAGGCTAGTGAGTGGTGAGGCTAGTGAGTGGTGAGGCTAGTGAGTGGTGAGGCTAGTGATTAGTGGTGAGGCTAGTGATTAGTGGTGAGGCTAGTGATTAGTGGTGAGGCTAGTGAGTGGTGAGGCTAGTGAGTGGTGAGGCTAGTGAGTGGTGAGGCTAGTGAGTGGTGAGGCTAGTGAGTGGTGAGGCTAGTGATTAGTGGTGAGGCTAGTGAGTGGTGAGGCTAGTGATTAGTGGTGAGGCTAGTGAGTTGTGGTGAGGCTGATGAGTAGTGAGGCTAGTGAGTGGTGAGGCTAGTGATTAGTGGTGAGGCTAGTGAGTTGTGGTGAGGCTAGTGAGTGGTGAGGCTAGTGAGTGGTGAGGCTAGTGAGTTGTGGTGAGGCTAGTGAGTGGTGAGGCTAGTGAGTGGTGAGGCTAGTGAGTTGTGGTGAGGCTGATGAGTAGTGAGGCTAGTGATTAGTGGTGAGGCTAGTGAGTGGTGAGGCTAGTGAGTTGTGGTGAGGCTAGTGAGTGGTGAGGCTAGTGAGTGGTGAGGCTAGTGAGTGGTGAGGCTAGTGAGTGGTGAGGCTAGTGAGTAGTGGTGAGGCTAGTGAGTGGTGAGGCTAGTGAGTGGTGAGGCTAGTGAGTTGTGGTGAGGCTAGTGAGTGGTGAGGCTAGTGAGTTGTGAGGCTGATGAGTTGTGTAGAAGTGAGGTGACAATGTTTCTTCTTGCAATATCCATGTTCATGTTCTCCGGAATTATCGTTTTGAAAATCGTTCTTTTTGGATTTTTTACAATTAAAATCCTGTTCATTAAATGTCGTTAAAAAGTATAAAAACAGTTGAGTAAAGTATGTAGTTTGTGAGTGAATATATTGCAGTGATATATAATGCGCCATTTCTCTGCAATGGCACGTTATTCCTGTGTGTGTATTAATATCACTCCAGACTCCTGTTTATTACTTAAGCATGGAGGTTGCATATCATAAGTTTAATGTTGAGCACAAGAGGTAACGAATGTGCATTAGTTCACACTATATAACAAATGCGTGTGTTATTCTCATAAACCGACTATTGGGATTACTTTGTGCCACGTGCCCACAGCGTTCCGATTGGCTGGAGGCAAAGGCATGCTCCGCCCACCGCGCCTTTATAAACGGTGGTGGGGGGGGGGGCGTCAGGTGGGGGGGTTGAGTGGGGGGCGCTCTGGGAGGGGGGGCGCTTGAGGGTTGGGACCAGGGGGGGGCACGGGGGGGGAGGCGCTCTAGAAGGGGGGGGGGGCGGTACGGGCGGGCGGCTGGATGGGGGGCCCCGCCCGAGGGTTGTCACGGACAAGGGGAGGGGAGGCGCGGACGTGTTGGTGGGAGCGTCTCTCAGTGACTGGCGCTTCCTCTACTTCTGGACGATGACAGTAATACATTCTATTGGTAATTGTTATTACATCATAGCAACAAAAAAAAAACACTCCGTGGCCACGAGTGGGGAGGGCGCGCGCGGATCCATTAGGCG